AGTGCAGCAGGAGGAGCTTGTTTCTGTCTGTGGGCTGCCCAGGGAGGATGGTGATCCCTGACCTGTCTCTGTAAAACAGCTCAAGGCTCTGGGGCTGCTCTTGGTGACGCTTTTGCCCTGCTTGTGGCCCAAGGGTGTTTGGGTAAGTCTGATGTTTTCTCCACCTACGCTCTGGTGCTTTTGCTCTGCTCCCAGCTCTGCTGACGTCCACTGTCTGGGGGTGGCTGACAGACTGTAATGGAGTAGGGCCCTTTGCAGGTTGTGGAAGGGCTCTGAGGTCTGAAACGTGGGGGTGTTGCCTTTGGAGAAGTTCCGTCTAAGTCTTTCTGTTGTGTATTGCAGGCAAAATCCCGGAGCTTTAAGCACTGATCTTGCAAACACACAGGAAAGCTCCTTGCCTGTGGGCACCTGGGCAGCCTGGCTGCCATCTGGGCTGGCAGGACCCATCCTGCAGGGCTGGGCTAAGCTGTCCCTGGCTCAGCCACGCTGCAGCGGCTGCTCGCTGCCATGCACCTGAGGTCACTCTGACTTTTGTACACTTCCCAGAGCCAGCCCAGCACAGGGATTGCTCCGGAGCTGGTAGCAGTCTTGGCTGAAGTCCCTGGTCTTCAGCAGACAATAGCCAGTGGCTTTAAGGGTTAGGATGCCTCTGGGCATGGCACCGCTGGGCTGGCCCTCGCTGGGTGTCCCGGCAGGGGTGGGTCAGCCAGGTGCCGCTCTCCTGAGGAACGGGAGCTGGGAAGGGGCTAGGACAGGGATAGCTGAGCCCGCAGTGAAGGGCGGCGGGGCAGGAGAATGAGTCAGCCTGAAGGATGATTAGTGTAAGATTTGGAGAAGGCCAAAGAGATAGCGGTGCCCTAAGGCTGGGCCAGGCGGGGGCGGGCCAGCCTGGCCTTGAGGCCGATAAGCGCTCGGTGCGCGGGGCCTTATCTCTGGCGGCTGCGGCAGCGCCTGTCTGGAGGGGCCCAGGGCCACCGACCTCGGGGGCTCACCCACACAACCTCTCCTCCCTCCCCCCCCTCGAACAGCCGCTGGCTTTGGCGGGGCCGGTGCCGTCCTTGGGCCGCTCTGCAGAGTGTGTGTCCCCCGGGCAGCCCCGGCCCAGGGCATCGGCAGCTGCTCCACAAGCTGTGTAGAAGAGGTGAGCTCGGTGTTGGAGGTGACAGATGAGGGGGATAACCTTGTCCACTGCTTTCCCTGGGCTGAAGGGCTTCCTTAGAGCTGTGGGACTTAATTTGGAAGTTTTTGGACCTCCTGTTTCCTGGTCTGTGTCCCACGGTGAGAGCATCCCCTGTGGGTTTGCAGTGCTGGCCCTGCTTTTGGGCTGTGACCTTTACATCTGCCTTCATCAGGGGCTTACAGAAGTGAGACCTCAGAAGAACAGACACAACTGGCTTTAAAACACACCAGTGTTATTTCTACCACACCACCTGGTATAGAGGATGCCTGTTGGATGAATGGTCAGTCCCAACAGCAAATACAAATGTATTTTATTTAGAAAAAACTTCTCACAAAGGGTAGACACTTACTTTGTGGTATACTATGCAAAACCTGAACTATAATGCACAGGCAGTCCCATCCCTACCTTCCCAACCTCTTTGTGTGTTTAAAATTGGGGAGACACAAGCCAGTTTAAAAGACTGCACCTGCAAGCAGGCCCAGTGACAACGGAGCGCAGACAGAGGCAATGAGCTCACCAGAGGGGTTCTATTTTGCTGTGAATCCATGTTCCAAGCTCTCACTGAGAAAGCAGGCACACGCCTCCTCGGCCTCCCCTTGCGAGGAATTCGTAGGACTGCTGGTTTTGTTTTTACACAACACACAGAGCAAGTGTTTAGAGAGCAATGAAGAGATTAATTCCAAAATCCCTTTAAGTATGATGAGAAATTGGCCACAACTGAGACAAAAGGGAAAGGTTTTTTCTCTCACTTTGGTGCAAGTTTATTTATTTTGTACACTATCCATCCATACACCTGTGATACAAATTCTATGAACCTGCCACAAAGCATTAAAGCACAACATACCTATTATTCTGCAGACATTGCATTTTTAATCACCATCCAGCCCACGTGGCTCAGCAGTGATTCAACACAGGAACCTGGGACTGTAGAAATGCAGACGTCTCGTAACCGTACACACGAGGGAGGGGAGAGCAAAAATGTTCACTTGTGGGGAACGTGGCTCAAATCTTCAGATTAAAAAAAAAAAAAGTCCCTGGAAGAGCTGGCTGCATAGGGATTTCTGTAAAGGATCTTGTAAACTCATTTCTATAGTAAAATCAAAGCCTGTAGGCTTTTGCTTTGTGGAGGTCAGTGGTAAGGGTACATGAGGATTTACTCTGTTTGCATTTATTACACCTTGCAGCAGAGCGCCGTGAGCTGTTGGCAGGCCTGACAAACTTACTGGAGTACCTGGAGTGCTGTGTACGGGCGAGGGGCACGCTCCCCACCCTCAGCTCTATTTAGAGTAGGGCTTTTCCAGCTAGGAAGTTTTCCAACCGGTACAATCGGTGACTGAAAACAGCTACACTCCTGAACCATGGATGTGGCTTAGTTAAAAGGACCTACCAGTGAATGGGGTCACAGCAGGAAGTTGATGCGGCAGGAAACACAAAACACAAAGACAACACTATTTGTTCCACAGTTCTCTCTGAGGCTAGAAAACCTGTTAACTTTGAAAGCCCTAGAAAAAAAATGCTGCACTGGTTTAGAAACCATCTACTTGGCATAGGACCACATTTGTTTTTTTGCACACAAACATTTCCCAGGTCTCCTCGTTAGGCGTTCTGCATTTCCTTGCCAATCTTGTAGCTGAGGATTTTGTTCCAGTCGATCTTGGTGCGGGTGACGGGCAGCTGCCGGCGTAAGGCCTTGAAGGTGGTGTCTGACATGGTCTGGTAGTTCTCACTGATGGCTGTCTGCAAAGGCAAGTGGAGTCCATCACACAGGGATAAGCCACAGGGAGAATCCAGACTTGGGGTTAATCCCAAAAACCCCTTTCACAAGGCAAAGGTGCCGTTAACTAAACGAACGCTGTGGGCTGTGTCAGTAAAAGGGCTTCTGGTGAACTCCCCTGTGACTGTGGCAGCTCCTCAGGTGTTTCCCTGCCTGACCTGTATCAAGCCCCTGCACACAGGCTGGGACAATGTCAGAAGCTGTGATGCAGATTTCCTCTTCTCACTGTCATAGAAGGAAAAACTCAGACTCACGCCCTCCCCCTTCCACCCTTGTTCCAGGTAACACTTGTAACCCTTTAAGATAACAACACAGCAAATTTATTTACACACAGCTTTACAACTCTACTCTTTTAACAAAGTACTACTGCCCTTTTCTGAGTGATCCTTACAGTCAGTACCAGATTCAGCCCAAAATGGATTTTGAGGTCAGTTTTCCCTGTTCCCATTAACTGTGAGTGGAGCGTGCTACGATTACATCAGTTAACCACCACTGATCTTACCTGGTACTCGTTTTCTGCATTTTCTATTATCTTAATGAATTCCTTAGCTGTCTGGACATCGCTCTACAAAGAGAAAAAAGATAATTTTTTATGTTTAAGAGCAACTTGGAAAAGCCACACAATAGATTTCTTGCCTAATGACAGGCTGAGAACAGATGAAGGGGGGAACACTGGCAGCTTTGTCACGTGTGTAGCTGGGCTCCTGCTCACCTCGGCCTGTGCTGGCTGCAGCTTGTGCAGGACTGCACCCTAGTGAGCACAGGGGAAGCAGAGGGGCCTTTGCCATACAGACCAGGGGCTGTGGGACTGTTGCTCCCTCTACTGTACCACAGGGCTTATTTTCCTTTAGTACACTGCTCTTGCTGTTTGTTTCCCTCACAAGTAGATTAAAAAACTCCTTTTTAACTGAACCTCCTAACATAAGCTTTCCAATAGAGACTTCCTAATGCAGTTTTAACTTCAAACAACTGAGAATCTGTGTTTCCCATATGGCTCTAAACGCAACTACTACACTGGCCAGTCATCCTAAAATTTCACTGAAGTCAGGAGAATTAGTTATGGAAGTGTATGCTTCACAAGGCACTTAAGAAATAAAATATTTGCTTTATCATAAAAAAAAATCTAGCATACTTACTGAAACCTGTACAGAGTCCTGAATATCTTTATGACTAACCAGCTGAACATTGCCATCTTCATAATAATGAACCTGGACAAAGAGACAAGATGCAGGTGATCATTAACACTCATTTCCCAATCCCTAGAGCCCCAAATGCTACCAGAATGTCTTCTCTGCTTACATGGAGACTAAAAGCAGGATGGATTTTCTAAAAGGTTTCATTCTTTGTTAAGACTGTTCAAGATTATGCTAATGCAGTAAATGCCTAGAGTTGAAATAAGAGCAATTAGAAAGATTCATGGTATAGGTTTTAGCCCTATAAAGGGAAGCAGAATGGAGGCATACAGGGTAACATTATGTAATAAACCACAGGCCAGACTGTAGGTGATGTCCAGCACACTAGACTTAAGAACTGATTTCTTGAACTGCAGTTTAACAGCATCTCGACGTGAGAGGGACATCCTGGCTGTATTCCAGCACCTCATCCTGAGTCAAAGGCATTTAAGAGAAGCACAATGCAGCTTCTCCTGGTTTTGCCCAAAAGAGTAACCCACCTGGATTTTGAGCACTGCAGCCACTTGAGCTGTTGGTGGTGTGATGGTAAATTTCCATTCTGATCTCCAGCGACCGTTCCTGAAAACAATTAAAGCATGAAAACTATTCCCAAAAAGCTCTAACAACAAAAAGAATCAACCTAACAAGAGCAAATTGTTTCTGCTGTTGTCTTATGACTGATGTTACAGTGCTTTACACAGCACTGAATTACACTTCTGAGGCACAGCTGAAAGCAGAGCAGCTCCAGTGCCACCTGTGCTCTGGACTAGGTCAGGGCTCTGTCTCACTCTGCTAAAGCTTTTCTCACTGGATAGTCACTGAGCCACACTGAAGGCTTCAGGGACTGCCAAAGGCTGGTCATAGAAAACAGACTACAGAATGAGAAGCAGAACTTCTTGGGAAGCTCATGACTACTTGCCCTTCAGAGTGTGTCAGAATGCATAGAGGGTGGGTTTGTGTGAGGACAAGTAAGAAAATACACCATGCTGAAATAGTCTTACCAGAAGTTTTTGGGCTGGAACTGGTGGCTCTCAATACAGGCAATAATTGTCTGCTGTCCATCTATAGATTTACCATAAACCTGTATTTAGAAAAAAAAGAGTTAAAAAGGCCCAAGAGCTGAGGAAAGTAATTCTTAATTTCTGTTCTTGGCACTAATGTGGAGGCTTTGATGTTATGGAATCTCACTGGGAGCATGTACCACTAATATGTTGCCCAACACCTCCACTGCACTGATGTACAAACAACACCTCCTTTTCAGTAACCATGGGTGTTAAGGTGCTGGGCAGTCATGACTATGAAAAATAAGGTCTAACACATCTTCACCCCTGTGTGCATTGCAAGGTGTTTGCTCCCTCTCTGGAACCTGATATCCCAAAGTTATCAAAACCACTCGTGAGGATGGAGAATTCAAACAGCACTGCCCAGCACAAAGTCTGCCCCCAGTACTGGCTGACAGAGCAAGGAGGTTTCGGGGAGACCAGAGGGATACTCAGCAGTGCAGAAGCCGTTGGGGTAGTGATCCTTCACGTAAGCTCTCAGCGCGCTGTCGCAGGCGTCTCGCCACTGCCGTAATCCTGACTCCGTGTCCTCGGCCTGGGGGTCGCTGGCTTCTTTCCTTAAATGATCAAACTTGAAAGAAAGCTTGTTTCTTGGGTCTAAAAATCTGCCATTGCCCAGATCACCATGTTCTGTGATTAAGACCTGTAAAAGAAGTGAAAATTAGGACCAACTTGCACTGCTGTAGATGTGCTGGATGGTGTTTTCCCCCTTTGAACAGATACTAACGTTTCAACAAATTCTTTCACGGAGCTATAATACCACATAAAGAAACAAGGATTTTTAGTAAAGATTTCACCAACAGTAGCTAGAGTGAGGCTGGAGGTAAACTCTCTGCTCTTCACAGCAACACTGCACTTAGTCCTGCACCCAGAAATGGCTGCATTATAACAATGTAGACATTTAGCTTAAAGTTCGGCATCCTTACAATACAAACAGGTGGTTTTGCATTCAGAGTTATTTTTGCTGCTTTTCTTCCCCATTTTTAAAGGAAATGAAGACTTTTACTCTAGAATTTACCAGTTATTGTCACAGCAATAGCCCTCATGGTCAAGAGAGGCACATAGATGTGGCTGCTCCCAACACACACACACTACAGTGCACGGCAAAGCAGTGCTGTACTCTCCCTCTCCTTTGCCTTATTCACCATCATTTTCTGGCTTTCCAAACACTGACTTCTTTTTTCAAGTTGTATTCTTAACTTTCTCTTGTCAAAGCTATTTTTATGGACAGGCCTCTTAAAAATATCTGCTTTCCATGACCATATCTGGGACAGCAGAAAAGCTGGGTCAGTTCTTGGCTCAGAGAACAGGACAGATGGTCAGGCCAGCTTTCCATCCTCTGCAGCACTTGCTGCTTGTTCTCAATTAAAATAAGAAGTATTTTGCTGGCATAGACTGGATAGTATTAGATTGGTATAATCAAAGATACAATTTATCTTTTAGGGTAGCTAAGAACATTAAAAATGCAGAAAATCCAGAACTATTAAGGATCTGCTACTGATTGTCAGTGGAACTGTAAGCAGGCAGCAACACAAGGATTTGTAAATGAGCATTAATAAACAGCAATCTTTAATCATTCATACTCTGAGCAGAATTCCAGTGACTTCAGCATGGAGCTTTTCTAAAAGGAACAATGAATCAGAGCTACTAGGTCTTGTCTGATACTACTTTAAGAGAACATTTCACCTATGCTGCTTCTGTGAGAACAAAAAAAGCTTTGTGATATAAAGATGTACAGGGGAAGGAGAGGTGGTAACCTGTGAGCAGAATGAAACTAGTCAACATCTTGAGAAAACAACATTTTTATTGTTTTTGCACAGCGTTGTGGCAATACAAACAAGTGTAAGAAGCTTCCTCTTACCTGATCATCATACCCTTCTATCTTCACTGGAGTGAACTGGTCCATGTTATACTGTGCAAATGCACTGTAAGAATTAGAGGGACATGAACTTTAAGTGTACATGCACTTCTATTTTTGACTCCAGAAAAAGTACATGGTGTGATTTATATTACAGAAAACTTGAACTTAATTTGACAAATAATACACACGAGTGCTCTTGAAGGATTTTTCAATACCTTTTACTGACACTAGCTCTGAAAACCCCACATCTAAAGCCAGGTTTCTTTAGTGGTGACCAGGAAAGCACAGAGTTCAAAAGCAGACCAGCAGGCAGCCTAGGGGAATATGAGCAAGCCAAGGCAGAACAGGAACACCCCAGCTACAATTTAGACAGCAGCAAGGCAGACAAACAAGTAGACTAATATTTACAGCAATTTCCTTATGTAAAGACCTGCTGACTGACATGTCACCTAGCCTGACGTAAAATCTTAGCATCAAGAAGCTCATATGCATAACCTTTAAGCACCTTCTGATGAGACTGTGCAAGTAAACAAGGTGTTTTGAAAGCTTTTTCTATTGAGGGCAGTTCTCTTTTCTGAACTTCAGCTCAGGATTACTCAGTATTTCAGGCTTCACTTGCTTTACAGATCATGCTCCAACAAGACCAGACTTGCTGCTGCAGAGTTAAACTTCATGGCAGAGTGCCCTCCTGTCAGTTTTTATATGGCCTCTACAGCACAAATCCCCATTTAGGGCTTTTAAAAACAATCATCCACGGCTTTCCTTAGGTAGTTTGTGGGGGGATATGGAGTTATAGAAGATTGCTCTCAATACAGCTCGAGGCTTTCCTCATCACAGAATGATGGGGGTAAGAAAACAAATGCATCTCTGGTGGTAATTTGACTTGTTTGAAATATTAGTACTTACTGTGCTGCTCCTTCCCTGAGAAGATTGTCATTGTTAAGCAGTAACCGGACATCTGGAGAGGGGAGAGTTCGAGTACGTTACTGGATTCTTTGATTGAATGTTTCTCTTTATGCATTTCATTTTCAACTGTACTAATGCCAACATCAAAATGATTAAATCATTTAACTAAGCATATACAGTCACAGGATGACAGCATGCTTGTCCCTCGCCACTTCTTACCCTTAAAAGCAGGACATGGGGACACGCCCTTAGACTCTTGTAACAGATGAAACGTGACAAAAACACCCCTGATAACTTTTCCTTATTCACTTACCATTGAACACCTCATTGAACTCTCCAGGGGGAGCATGAGTGATGAATTTTGCAGCTATGCGCACCTACAACGGAGCAGAGAAGAAATTAAAGTACAGATAATTTACTGAGCTCATACACACTGCAACCTGTGCTGAAGCAAAGAACCAACCAACTCGACCCTGACAGCCACGGGAAGTGCCTGAGCTGGGCAGAAGGAGAGGCCAGCACTGGCCAAACAGTCTTGCAAGAGAGAGACTGCCACTGGGGTGATGGGAAGTGCCAAAGCGACCCCCAGAACTCAGAGACAGCCTCACGGACCATTTCAGCAGGTGCTGGGGCTTGGTCCTCTGAGGCTACCCTGGTGGTGCCACCCTGAGCAGGGGACACAGCGCCTGCACTGCTCCGTGGTGCTGCCCCACTCACCTTCCTGCAGCGTTTGGCTGGAAGTGTACGTGAGCTGTCAGAGTAGTGGAAGAATTCAGGTGTGTGGAACTGAGTCACAGAACAACTAGCTGAAAAGGACAACTAAGGAAAACACCCGAATGCCTGCAGACTTTGAGGGTGGAAGGAAAAACCCATTCTCTTCTAAAGAGTAATGAAGCTGCCCTGTGTTCTGCACTGTTAGCATTCAGGTGGTATGGGAACTGACTCTGCTGGAGCTAGGGACAGTTTATGGTTTCATAATCGAACCTTTTATGGTTTTTACAGGACCAAAGGGAGTAAAATAATCTTGGAAGACTCGAAACAGGAACGCCACAAAATCAGCCCCTCCCTTAGGACAATAAAAGTCACATTTTGTCCAACAGGCAGAGCACCAAAGCTGTGCCACAGCCCTCCTGCTCAGCGAGACGTTTCCGGCAGTGCCTGCAGAACCGTGCTCCTCACAACTCCACTGCTCCTGCTTCTCGTTTGGAGCAGGAAAACTTATGTTCTTTATGATGCAAGTCATAAAATACAGAGCATTTAAGCCAAACTGCTGAAGCTGGGAGTGGAGTGCAGGAAACAGGCTGTGCAGTCATTAATTCTACAGGTGAAGCACTCGAAGCCCTGTGGGTTTTGAGTCGCTTTGTTTCGAGCGGTGCCAGCTCAGGGCAGGATGTTCGTTTGCAGAAGCAAGAGAAGAGTTTCTGCCCAGTGACCCACTTCCTGGCCCCCGTGGCCATTTCAGGTGCTCTGTGCAGCGAGCTTCCTGCTCCTGAGCGGGGCAGAGGCTGAGGGGGAAGCTGCTCAGCCAGCAGCCTGCGCGGGCCGCGCGGCAGCAGGACGGGCCCCAGCAGAGCACAGGGGGCATCGCAACAGACCTTCCACTGCATCCCCTCGCCCACCTAAGAGATGCCCGTGGAGAACAGAGAAGTGGAGCCTGAGGGATGGAATGAATCCATACTGTGGCTCTACTGATTTTTTTTGTTTGTTTTCTTTGCTTTATTTCAAAGCACTGGGAAACTCAGACTGAAAGGACACGTATTTAAAAGTTCCCGATCTATCTGCATGGTTATAAAATGGATACTGCAGTCACTCTTTGCAGCATGTTTCTCCTTCAGTTCTTTACATATGATCACCCTTTTCCACCCGTGCTAGGCATGGGGGTACTTTAAGCCAAGTCCAGGTTGCCCGGGCTGGGACATGAAGGAGAACGTGTGCTCAGATTTCAAGTGAAATCCCATCTGCTCTGCCCAGCAGAGTACTCGGGGCACACAGTTCTGAAAAGCCTCTTCCTGAAGGACAATTCTTCCCTGTGGGTGCTTGGAAAGAACAGCAGATTTCAGGTGAATGCTGTGGGAGATGGAGAAGAATGCTCAGTGACCCCAGATTGTTGCAGCAGTGCCTCCTTCCCAGGCTGCCAGCCAGGGGGATGTCATTTCAATTTCCACATCAAATGCAATGATGAATTCAGTTTTAGCAGTTTAAATGAAATTCAGCTAAACGGTGTCAGGCAAATATATTGTATACACCTCTGGGCAGATTTCAGTTATGTGCAAGAGACCATATGAATTCTGTATTGGAAACTTCATTTCAAGCAATGCTCATTTCATTGAAAATATTAACTATTTTTGCACTTTTACAGCTCCAGCTGCTTGTTTCACAATGAAAGTCACTGTGAGGAAAATGCAATTGATGGTTTAAGGGCAAAATGGAACCAAGTAAGCAAAAAGCTACAATGTGATCTGTACATGATGTCAGGAAGAGTAAGGGCAGACTTAACTGCCCTTTGTAGGTAGCTAGCGTTACCTGGCAGAAAAGGCGCCGACTTAATTTGTTAAATGAAACTCAGCGCTGCTCGTACGACTGTAATTTTCCCACATTCCTACGCAAGAGGAACAATCTGCTCATTTCTCCCTTTCCCAAAATAAACACCGCTCCATTTGCTTCTGCTCAGTCCCTTCCACCCAGTATAATTTGTAGGATCGACATCAAAGCCACCGTGGGGAGCCGGGGAGCGGAGGAGGCGCGGAGCGGCTCGGAAGGTGCTCTGGCACT